TCAAACGAAAAGCTTTGGAAACCAGTGATGTGCTGGACAACCATTTGTATCTGAAAAACAAAGCATTTTGAAAGTTAAACTGCTTCAGGCACATGAGGTAGTTCCTCATGTGCCTGAGTAAACAGAACATCACACTATGAATATGACAGAACTAAAAGACACGGGTTGTCATTAGTGTTTGCTGAGCCTAATAATTTGGTTACTAACCAAGAGTGGAGAAAACACCCTGACAGAGGCTCTCCTCCTCATTCTGTATTTCTCAGAAAAACCCTTGCTTAAGCCAAATACAGATGCTTGGCATTATTAAAAAGCAACACACAATCAGACACTGCTAGCTCAGTCTCTCCTGTGGGCTACTGAGGAGCCCCAGCCTCTGATGAGGAACAGGAGAGAGAATTCAGCACCACACAGGGCGGCCTGGTAGATGCTCTGTAACACGTTCTTTCCCTTGAGAGAAGCTCAGATGCTCAGTTCGTACACATCCTGTGGACAGGGACAAAACCCATGTTCTGTGTTCAAAACAGACTTTAGCTACACATGAATGTACCTATTCCCAAATATACCAGTGCATGCACATGGACAGGACTTCTGCCTTCCTCCCCCCATGCTACAGAGATTCAAAAGATGCAAACAAACCTCACTTTTCTAACAAACTCCTTTTTTTTTTAACCAGTCTGGCGAAGAATGTGACTCACAGCTGTGATGAGGGACAGAAGAGCTACCCTAGTATAATTCACAGACCTCAAAATGATGAACAAACACTTGTCAGACAGCTGGCAGTACCAAAAGGGTGCATCTTATTCATCCCTTTATTCAGGTGATACAAAAGATATAGTGATAGGGTAACGTAATGCTGAATCAGGCTCTGCCAAAGCTGCTGAAACCAGTTAAATCCATATAGTGACACAGACCTGCTTAAAAAGACTTTTGCTTGCACAGACTATGATGAGCAACTGCAATGGCTACTGTTCACCTGTTTCAATGCACGGCACACCAACTCACATCCCATTTAAATGTAAGTAAACACTAGAAAGTAAAGCAATCTGACAAGTTACCATCATTGGAAGCCAGAGGATGACTTTTGTCAATGCAAGAATCAGTGAGAATCGTTTCTGGGCAAAGCCCACCATGAAGCTCCTGCTCTGTATGCTGTTCATGCAGTGGTGCTCGAGTGCACTGCTTCCAGCCACACCTTTCCTAAAAACTGCCTCCGAGCATGGACATGTGTTTTGGAAATGCTTCAGGGTTTTATCCACAGGGTCCACGGGTGACAGAGAGAAAGTAGCAGTACCACAGCCTGCAGGAGTCCCAGGGGTGATGTAGCCTCCAGAGACTTCCTGGTAATCACCATGTAATAGCTGTTGCTCATCTGAGCACAACAGCTGGTAAGTTAGAGGAACAGACAGCACTGTGAGAAGGCAAAAGCACAGTGAGTAGACAATAAATAAAAACAAGATGTAGGAACTGGCACAGTCAGTGAAGCAGCCCCAGGAAGTAGGGATGTACTTGCCCCAACCACAGAGAGGCAAAACGCAGATCAGCAAACTGACAATCCAAATGGTAAGAATGGCCCATACCATGTTCACCCGTCGCTTGGAAGTGCTGCAGCTCATTGTCTCAGTTTTGCTGATAGTGTAGAAGTTGTAAGAAACTAGAAGAGATCCTTTCAGGTTGCTAGAAATCCCCTGGAATAAATATATAAGCGCTGAGGTGGTGCAGAGAGACTGGGGGAGGACATCACTTGACCACTGGGTGAGCATGAAAATAATCACTGGCACAATGCTGATCAAATCATCTATTGACAAAGAGGTCACGATCATTGAAACCGTGGTTCTGGTTTGCATTTTCAGCAGGGAAACTAGTGAATAAATGCTGCCCAGAAGTGCTGTGAATGCAATGATAAAAGTCAAGCAGAATAGAAAAACATTCAAAGTTCTTTGCTCGCGAGGCTTATCCATAACACTATGATTTTCGGGGAAGGAACTCATCCCAGTAAGTGACAAATTACTGGGCGTTACCGACATTGTCCTTGGCAAATTTTTTTCTTTGCCTTCTCACTGACTCTCCAAGTTTTTGCTAGCTGAAATCAAGACTGTCAGCTCCACATCGCAAGTTTCTTTCTTTCACAAGTTTCTTTGTTTTCCTAGACTCTCTTTCATGGCATCTGATGAAAAAATACTCAGGTGAAAGCATCCTTGATAACCAGAACAACTCATGCTCTCGAAAAATCAGGCAACAATGAAGTATCAAAGTGCTGGGAAAAAAATGCAATTCTTCAAAATCCTTTCAGTACTGGAAGATGGTTAATTCAGGTTCTTCAGGTAATTACATGCCCTTCGCTTTTGACAGGTATCAGACAATGTGCCTTACTCACGAGTTCAGTTGAAAGGAAGACAGAACATCAGGTATGTTCAAGCTCTAGTAGCTCAGGGAGAAACAGCAGAAATGAGAGGCTGTTGGATTCACCCTGTGCTGCTCTGAGCTGCAGCAGGGAGGAGTCAGATGCAAGCAGGATAGCAGAGACGAGGGGAGTGAGTATCTTCTCAGAGGGAACTGCCTCTTAGCTGGATCAGAAGACTGAAACAGTGCCCCTGCTAAGCCACACCTCCGATGCTGACACTGAAATCCAATGCAAACACTCAGATCTGATGTCAGCTGTAAATGTCATTCCCGTAAAGCCCACAACGGCTGCTCCAGGGCTGTGTATCACTAGTGAGAGAGCTGTTTTTATTCTTTTGCACTTCTGTACTATAAACTTAGCAAGGGGAAAAGCCGCAAGAGCCTTTTATGAAGATGAAGCAGAAGTGGTGTGTCTGCTCTGCCTTTCTGCATTTCTACTCCCACTGTGCGTGGATGTGCATACGCTGCACATGGATGCTAACTGTGTAGTTACTTACTAACAAGCTTTCATTAATGACAGGTACCTGCCACACGTTAGCCAGGTGGTGCCTGCCTCTGTGGTATCACAGCTTAGTCTGGGGTTTATAAAACTTTAATTCTCCGCATTATTCAAATGCTGATTGTCTGCTCTAGTTGAACACATGGACAGAATCACAGACAAGTGCATTATGGCACATTACAAATGTTTTCGCTTGAGGAAGTGCAATACTAGTGAAACTTATGAACTGACAAAATTTCCCACACCCAGATGTTAAGTGGACAGGTAAGCACAATGCAGTTCTCTTGGAGGACTCTGCCTCCCTTTTCTTTTTTGCACCACTTTGAGTTCAAATACATGATGGGGCTGCAGGACAAATATATTCTGATTAAGGGTCATTCTGTAAGGCTGCTGCAATTAACGTGCTAGTCCGAGTAACATTACAAATCCAGTCAGATAGAAATCTCTGTAATTAACCTGATCCTTGCTCAGTTCTTCCCACTCTGAAATGTGTTAGCTGTGTCATGCCAACAGCTGGACTGCTTGGGTGTCTTCCCTCCTGCCTGGGCAGGGCAGAGTTTGAGGCAGAAATTCTCAGAGGTGCTGGAGTCCCAAACGGGACAGGCAGTGGAAAAGAATGTATGGCTGCAGCTCTGTTGTGTGACAAGAGCCCACGATACAAAGATCTGAGCTAAGGGCAATGACAACTTACATGAGTAACACCTCCTTTATTTCCCATCTCCAAGCTGCCTTGCCATAGCACCAGAAAGCCTTATGCCCCAAAACAGGCTGGCTGCCCCAATCAACCCTACATGCCCTGTACAGCCACAGAACTGTCCTCAGTGCTGGACTTGTCGCTAAGCCACGCTCCTGATTGGGAGCCTTAGCCTCTCCATTCCCCCTTTCACATCGCACCTGCCTCTCTGCTGAGGATTCCTTATTATTTCTTAGGACCAACTACCAATCCTCATGTCAGAAATTTGTGAGAGGAGCATCCATCCTGCCCTCCACATAAAGCACAGTCATGGATCTGGCCTTTAACTGTACAGGATTTAACTTGGCTTTTGTGATTTATCTGGCCTGTTGAACTACTGACTGTTGATCTGTGCTGTGCCAGCTAAAGGCCAGGGCTCATTTCCTTCTACTCACAAATCACAGCCACCTCTGCCCCTGCTGGTCAACTTTAAATTAAGAACAGTGCTCTAAATCTTAGATTAACAGTGTGAGCCTCGTCAGAAGTACAGTCAAGAGACAGGAAGAGAAAGAAGCATAATTTACCTTTGTTTGGTGAATATTCTAGCCTGGTTCCCTCAGGAAACATGTGAGAACGCTGCCTGAGGGTGGATATATGCATGTAGATGATCGTCTTTTCCTATCCCTCAATTTCTTCTGACAAAATGATCATTTTCATTTTAATCTGAAGGTGTCAAAGCTATTAAGTTCCCACAAGCTTTACGAAAATCAGCAGCTGATCAGAGGAGACAGGTCATAGCAGGCTGCAGCAGATTTCCCTCTTTACCATTTGCTCTTGTGACATTAATGTCAGGTGCTTAGAAACAATTTTAATGATGGGGGGTTGGAACTAGATGATCTTAAGGTCCTTTCCAACCCTAACTATTCTATGATTCTATGATTCTGTGTTTGCAAAATTTATTTTCCCTTCTTTGGAGAATTTTTCTCCTGTATCCTGAGTCATTATGCCTACACTGGATGTCCAAAAGCCCTGACAGCAGATATCAACAACAAATTTTCTGAAAGTCCCCTAGTACAATCCTCTTCATATACGTTACTGCCCTTGCTTTGTTGGCTGTGCCTCGGTATTTCTCTGTAGCTTTTTGGACACTTCGGTAAAAGTAGTCTGTTCTGTGCCTTGCATTTGTATTTGGAATGAAATGTTCATCAGTTTCCTTAAGAAGAAAGTAACTTTTATTTATAGCCATACCCATTCAAGGCAAATAATGTATTAATTCAGTTTATCTTCCCACAGAATGTATTTTATCATATGAACTGCACCTTGCCAATCTCTGTTGCAGCTTTTACCATAACTTACAATATGGCGAAACATTCCTTCCTCTGGTCATTTCACAGTTACAGACTGAAGATCTTAGGAGGGATGAATTCAAGCTTCCCTTCTTACTTTTCTTTAACATGACTGATAAATTCCAATAAAATATGTACAGAAAGATTAGTCTAATCTTAAAACTAAAGAGAATTTGGTGGTAGTAAGAAACATGCAACTGTACAGAGGAGTATGATTTTTCCACACAGCTGTGCCTCCAGGCAGTTGACTCGCACACCCAGTAAGATCTAAGGTCCGAAACTTCTCCTGTGGCTGGGGCAAATGAATCTGAATTATATTCACTGAACTCTTCCGAAGGATGAGTTTGTACTGCAGTCTTTCAAAATCTACAGGAACAGCATCTTTTCAATTGTAATTTCACTTCCAATTTCCCTGAAATTATTCATGAACAGACTCAACTAGGTTTGGGGGTGGCAAGGACAGGTATGTGAACAGAGAGGCAGTCAGTGTTATCATAACCTGCCTTCTCTCAAATTTTCTGAAGAAACAGTGCTAGAATGGAATAATACAGCACTGCCAAAAAAACACAGGTAATGACCTTGCAGAAACCAAGAGAAAAGAAAATGAAACTTCTGCCTGCTGCTGTCTTCTGGTTCAGACTGTGTCAAGGCAGGCGTGAATTTGTAGATAAAGATCCTTCTACCTATACCCCTTCTTCTCTGCTTTTAGCCTCCTAAATTATGGAAGGTTCCTAATAAATACTACTGTTTGCAATACAGGTATATATACCTTATCCTGGTGTGAATTCTGTTTGCTAAGGAATGACGACAAAGAGAAAATGCATTAGGCATGGAAATCTCTTCTCCGACCTCAATTCAAACACCACTGCACAATGATGTCTCTTTAAAGGAAGATTCAGCACTACTCGACAGGCTATGAAAGGACTTCTAAGACACACACTGCATGTAACAATTCAGAAATGCTTGTAAAGAGTATCAAATATTCACTGTCATAAAATACAACCAATAAATGGAGTATTAAAGATTTATCCTTTTTAGTGTATGGGTCACATTTTCTTTTCATACCTTGCACTAAGCTAAACTTTGAGTTATGGATTTGCTTCCTTTTGTCACTCGAGAGACTAGGTTATTACAGCAGCTGTACAAATATTTCATTTCAGAAGGCAATATAACCCCTGTGCCAGGCAGAGATGTGTATATATATATATATATATAAAAAATTCCATAAATGTCTTTGTAATTTATTCCTCAAAAGCACATGAAAGAAAATGTTTTAGTTTTTTCTAGATTTTTTTTTTTTAATAGACTTTTAAAAAGATGTCTAATGATCATTTTTTGTCTATCGGACTCAGACGTCACTTTCGGATACAACATGGTTAAACTGCAGCTAATGATTTCATCTAGTTGTTTGCCTCAGATGAATTAAATCAAGGATGGCTTCTAATAAAAGGCAGACACTCTTATATTTAATCCATTTCCGCTGCAGCTGTATTGCTGTGCTGTAGGAAAAGGGTGCTTACTGATTTGGAGCAATTAGAGCAATGTAAATCAGGAGTAATTTCATTAAACCTAAAAATATGATTTAACTTATGTGCTCATTATGGGCTACACTGCACCAGCTCTAACTCAAGCAAAAGAGAATCTTGTTATGCAGATGCTCCCTTTGAAACCAATGGGTTACTATCACTTGCAGAGTACCCCTCTGAGAGGTAGCACCTCTCTGAGCAGATCACGTGGTATTAAGCAGTGCCCATTATAAGAGCTCCCCAATTTCAGGTTTTTGCTTCCATGCTGTAAATACAGACAGGAAATTGAGAATGCAATGAACACGCTTGTGAGCTGGGCTGATGCCAACCT